ATATATATATAAATGATCCACTCATGCAACGCAACTAATGACATAAATGCATCATTATCACATTTAATTGAATTAGCCAATTACAATAATAAATTTCCCCTTGAAAAATAATTAATAATTATAGTTAAAGCCAAGAGGGGAAAAAAAAAAAATCATAGCTTTATCCACTCAATTCCATCAATAAAATTTAAGGAAATAAAGGGCTTCGCCTCCTCATCGGTAAGCTCTCGCGACCATGAAACTCTGCCCGCATGGATGGCTCCAGGTCCACTGCACTTGTATTGACCGTAGAATACAGTTCTGTCAATCAATACTAAATATTAGCTCAAGACGATAACTTCAATATTCAATATTAAATATTGAAAAGATAATAATACAAATAATTCATATATGCTTTTTAAAAAACGGGAAATTTACCTACATAGCACACAATTCCTATGACTGCACTTGTATTGACCGTAGAATACAGTTCTGTCAATCAATACTAAATATTAGCGCAAGATGATAATTTCAATATTTAATATTAAATATTTAAAAGATAATAATACAAATAATTCATATATGCTTTTTAAAACACGAAATTTACCTACATACCATACAATTCTTATGAATTTACATATCTAATACCTGAACGTGGATATTTACACTTATAACACATTGGTGTCAGAAACCTATGCAAGTAAAGATGTATTTCACTTTTTAAAATATAATGAGAGCGGTAATTTTGATGCTTATGTTAAAAGATTCAAGTGATATACATGTAAATATGAATATTTAGCTGATGGGTATGTAAATACATAAGAATTGTGGGTTATGGATGTAAAAGCCCTGTAAAGCTTACAACTAATGGACAAAGTTTTGACTGTAAAGAAAATTCCTTGTGGATAAAGATGAACAAATCTTGCTTTCTTCCTCTATGATATAGCCAAAACAATATTAGGAATAAATATATTATTATTATTATTATTTACATTGGTTGTAGGTGGTCAATCACTCATGATCATCAGGAATCAAATTGTTGTCAAACTTATATACATATATATACATAATTAAATTATTATTTATTGCACCCCACTAAAATAATAGATAAAAATTAGGGATAATTACATACAAAGCATCCAAAACATTACTCTTTGCTCGTGAACGGCTCACTAAGCAAACGAGTCAAATGCGAACACTTTTTGAGCTTGAAGAACGAGCCGAACACGAGCTGAGTCTGGGTTCGCTCGTGTTCGAATCATTTACACCCTTAAGTGGAACTAGTTTTAAAATAAATAATTATTTATTTAAAATGATTTGAATGGCTAAGATTCTCCCTCTTTAATTATTGTGATAATTTTTTTTTTCATAAGCAGAGGACACACGAATCCCATGAAGTATAACTCGTGAGGTGAGTGAAGCAGAGGAGAATCTCAAGGTTGTATCGCATAAGAAGATAACATACATTCACATGAGAAAGCTATAAAATCTTAAGGTCAGAGCATGTAGGTGAAAATCTTGGCAAAATTACAAGAGATGTAGTTAATTTATAGAATCCACCTTTGAATGCTTGTTTGTTATGGGTATAGTCATAAAAGTGAATATTCAATTAATATTGTGCATAACTAAGTGACAATGGAGATTTAATGGTGGCAATTGTGCCAGTCAGAGTACCGGTAGTTTGACAACAACTACTACAACAACCAAAGAACGATGATGGCAGCAACAACGTCAGACATGTGAATGTTCCAGTGATAGAGTGGTGAAGTTGGTTTGATGACAGCGAGGGCTAAATGATTGTTATCCGACAAAGATGGTAATGATCTGGCAACGACAACAGTAGTTGCGGCGTCAGAGACGTGATGGTGGTTCAACAACAATGATAGTGCTCTAGTGGATGTGTCGGGCAGACAATGGTGGTTCGACATGATAGTTGTGATCCGAGGATGGTGTCCTGATAATGGTGATGTTGGCTCGATATCGATCTGGTGCATGTGATTTGGTGGTGACGGTAGCTCCACGACGTTGGTTTGGCACGGTGGTGGTGGTCTAATGATGGTAATCTGATGGCATCAGTGGTGGTGGCTCGGCATTAATCGAGTGTCGATGGTTTCATGGCGCAACAACACAATGTCAATGCTGGTCAGGCACAATGGTGGTGGCCTTTCATTAGTGGTTGGACAATATTTGCTTGATGGTGGAAGAAGTGGCTCGATGATGGTGGAGTTGGTGCCCCAGCATCAGTCAAATGTTAGTGGTCGAACGACGTTGACCCGACATTAGTGGTCTAGCATGACAAAGAGATTCTTGAGTTAGGGGTTTGGTGATGGCGACCTCATTATAACAGTGATGACCCACTGACAATGGGACGATGGTGGCAGCTACACCTCTGCGTTGGAGATCTGCCTCAACAACGTGGTTTGGTACGACGATGATGGCTCGGAGTGATTCCTTTGATTATATATAATTTTATCAGTATTTAAATGCCTTAATAACATTGGAATTAAGCAATCTCAGGCTTGCTTGATTTGCATCATGATTACAAGGTTAACATATTTAGAGATCTTTTAGTCCTCTAAAATATATTCTAAAGCTTATCCTTACGATTTAAGTATATTATTTGGGTTCTATTAGACTTAAATCATATTAAATTTTATATCATTTGATTTCTTTTACTTAGAGCTCTTATTTTATTATGAATTTGAGTTTGTATTTATAAATTTAATTTTTTAATTTTCAAATATAAACATACATCAAAATTTATACGAATAATTATAATTTCTTAGGTAGACAACACATATATAATGAGGATACCATAAAATATATTTAGAATATGATAAATATAACTAGTAATGGAGAATTAGAATAAAAACATAATTTACAAATATGTTGTGAGTACATATGACAAAAGAAAGCAGGCTTTTTATCCGTGCGCACATGATTGTACTTTTGAGTGACCAATAGCACGTGTTTAGCGAGGCTGTGGCTTACAAGTTAGAGCAGAGAAGAGAAGTATGGCATCTTTGTTTAAGGCTTGATATAACCCACATTTTCCCCGCCAAATAATCGATGGAATAAGATTTTCTGACATTGAAATAATAATAAATTTGTTTAATATTTTTATTTAAAATATTATTCAAAATATTCAAAATAATTGTCTTGTATTAAGGTATTATTTATTAAATTTATAACAAAATCTAATATATCATCATTATATTATTTTAATTATATTAAAATAATTTAAATATTTATTATGCCCTCCAATTCAATATCTATCTGGTTCAAACATTAAACCTCAAATATATATTTTTGTTTCAATTCAATGTTCGGTTTAATTTGCTTCTACATTTATTTTGGAGAGTTTGCACAACTTTTAATTAGTTAGCAATAATAATATTTTTTAATTGGTATAGAAAATTTGAATATATAAATATAGAAGCCTAATATTATATGAAATATTACATACAGATAATATATGTGTGGATTTAGTATATTGTGGCGACATTCACTATAATACGGCGATAATATCACCCAATACCACCACAATATCATTAATCCACATGTACATTATCCACACAGTATTTTCACTAAATTTTAGTTGTAAGATAAAAAACATATAAGCGAAAAAAAAAATCCATCATCTTATCAAAATCGGTCCAATTCAAACAAAATCAAGCTTAGATCATGTCATTAAGCCACTCTTAGAATATTTTTGGACATATTTAGAAGGTCAAACAAATATCAAATATAGCAAGTCTATAGTCTAATCGATTGTCTGAGTAAGACCAATCAAACGAGCCCAAAATTACTCAATTTCGACATCGTTAAGACATTCAAATATCCATCAAACACGTCTGATTGAACAAATGTCTCTAGACTGCCTGATCAAAGTAGTTCATATTCCTATATTAATTACAACTATAACACTATAAATAGATTCTTGTTCATCCCATGAGGGGGTGAATAGCTTGAGGCTTGAGAAATAACTTAAAGTCTTGAGAAAGAACCGAAGTCCAGTACCACTCCTACCACTTTTCAGTTGTCGTCGACCGCGAATGGCAACTACTGATCGCTAGTGATCACCGTTGACCACTATTGACTATCGTCGACCGTTGTTGACCACCACCTTCTGGCTTTCACCGTTCACCATCGACTGCCACCCACTTTTTATAACAAGTTCATTTGCACGTTGACGTTATAATTCAAAAGACTTTGTGACCATTTCTAATCTATGGGATAAAGGATCTTTGTAATCAACAACTTATAGTGAATTTTCACAACTGGGTCATGCATTGTAATTTTTTTCTTCTATGAGGTTTTCCACGTAAAAATTTTTGGTGCCACTGCTGGTTGTTTTCTTTTATCATAGTGTGTGTTGAATTCTCGTGCAACGCTAAGACGATAATCCATTACTCTATCACCGCTAATTATTTAGCACACATCAACAAGAATTGCATGATTTGTTCTTGAGGCCTCATGTATGTTGCATGATATGAAATTTTTACATTAACTTGTCCTGAAATTTCATAAATTACAAAAACTTCATCGTCTAAATCCCAGCTCTCTCCTCTCTCTCATTTTAAATAGGTAATTACGAATAATAAAAAACGAGCCCAAAATTGCTCAATTTCGACATCGTTAAGATATTCAAATATCCATCAAACACGTCTGATTGAACAAATGTCTCTAGACTGCCTGATCAAAGTAGTTCATATTCCTATATTAATTACAACTATAACACTATAAATAGATTCTTGTTCATCCCATGAGGGGGTGAATAGCTTGAGGCTTGAGAAATAACTTAAAGTCTTGAGAAAGAACCGAAGTCCAGTACCACTCCTACCACTTTTCAGTTGTCGTCGACCGCGAATGGCAACTACTGATCGCTAGTGATCACCGTTGACCACTATTGACTATCGTCGACCGTTGTTGACCACCACCTTCTGGCTTTCACCGTTCACCATCGACTGCCACCCACTTTTTATAACAAGTTCATTTGCACGTTGACGTTATAATTCAAAAGACTTTGTGACCATTTCTAATCTATGGGATAAAGGATCTTTGTAATCAACAACTTATAGTGAATTTTCACAACTGGGTCATGCATTGTAATTTTTTTCTTCTATGAGGTTTTCCACGTAAAAATTTTTGGTGCCACTGCTGGTTGTTTTCTTTTATCATAGTGTGTGTTGAATTCTCGTGCAACGCTAAGACGATAATCTATTACTCTATCACCGCTAATTATTTAGCACACATCAACAAGAATTGCATGATTTGTTCTTGAGGCCTCATGTATGTTGCATGATATGAAATTTTTACATTAACTTGTCCTGAAATTTCATAAATTACAAAAACTTCATCGTCTAAATCCAAAAATTAAAACGTTGCCAATAAGCTCCCACCGCACCTAGATTGGTGCGGTGTGAAAATTATTATTTTCTGCGTTTTGAAAACGCATAAGCTGCTAAAACGCAGTTTACCCAAACAGGCCAGGTGCATTTTCTAAACGACACCGCACCAAATAAGCTGCCCTGAATAGGCTCAGCCCGATCAAGTTATAAATATATGCCACGTGTCAGCTCCATGCAACAAGTACTAATTAAATTTATAAATTAAGAAAATAATATTTAAAAATTTACGCGACACGATTGTCATATATTTACATATGTAACACATAAAATTTAATATTTATATTAATACCACTTTATCTATGTATCAAAAATACATTTCACTTTTTCATAACTAACGATAATGATATTTTTAATGTGATAAAAAAATTAGAGTGTTAGAAATCTAAAAATCAAAATTTAGGTGTTTCATGTACAAATTCATAAGAATTGTGTGACATGTAATGTAACTGTCTCAATATTTTTTTCCCTCCTACAAATAAATTTAATAAGTGAAATATTTTCACCATCACTCAATTAATCAAAAATAGCATCTTAAAAAAAAGAACTTGAAAAAAATTGATTCAATTCAAACTTGTCGGCCCAAAAAATTTTTAAAGTCAAGTTTTAAATTAATTTCTAAAATCAAATTTGATCCAAAAACCTAATAAATTGATCATCTAAACTTAAAATTTTACATTTCAACCAAAATAAATCACCAAAATTTTAAATTTAACCATCACAATTAAAATTTGGGCCATTTACATAAAAAATCATGGTAAAATTTAACCATCACAACCCTCCTCTCTTATTCATTTTTCAAGCTCTTATCCAAATATCAAAAGTCATGGTAAAATCACAAATCATATTTTTCATTTTTATCAAATTTTCAATAGTTCGATCATGTGACACGTAAATACATCAGTTCAGTTGTTCATAAAAACTTCCTAGATGGCTTGTAATTATCAATTATTTTGATGGTGTGTATGTAATAATCACATAAAGTTTATTATATATAACATTTTTGATGATTGACATGAGTATAGATGAAAAAAAAAATCCCACTATGTAATAATATGTATTGAATTTAGGCCAAGCTTATGGAAAAGAGAAGGGCTAACTAACCTCATAGAGGGAGAGAGCATTCCCAAAGATAAAATCAACAGAGCCCTCAATATAGCAATCCTTGTAGTAATGCCGGCCAATATGATCGTACAGAGTATCCTGCGCCCCCAAGAACTTGCATCCCAGAAACGCCGCCGTATCCCCCGATATCCTCATCGCCACCCCCTGCTTCCCCACCGCCCCCGGCTTTGGCACCGGACTGGTATTCTGCCCCCCCAAACAAAAACATTACAAATTCATTATCATCAATCTTTATTCTTTTTTTCTTTTTAATTCTATATATGTTTGATAATACCTTGAAGGTCACGTTCTTAGCTATGAAAAAAGCAGAGTTTACAGCAAAAGTTGCAGAATTGTAAGTTCCCAAAGGCAGCCCTTTTGCCCCAGTGGTGTCTGCTGTATCTCCCCACTGCACCACCGTCTTATCCGCCCCCTCTCCCTCTATCGTTACGAACGCTTTCATAGCCGGAATGCTCACCTTCTCCCTGTAACAAAATCCCATCTTTTTCACAGATCTAATACAAAAATTTGATTTTGATGAAACAATTCAGGCGGCGAATTGAGCCGCTGCTTACGCACGTGTAAGTTCCGGCATTGACTTTGATGACAACTCTGAGCAGATTGATGAGGGGAAGCGAATCGATGGCGGCTTGAATGGTGGTGAAGTCTCCCTTCGCCGGATTTTTGTCGACGGTGAGAGTGTAGGAAGGAAACAGTTTGTTCATTACTCGGCCGAACAGGCTGTGCCGGAGGGTTCCGACAAAGTTTACCCATCTCATGAACTGCTGTTCTATCAATCTTTGCTGCGTTGCAATGCCGGAATAGTTTGATTCTGGGGTTTTTGGCCGCCGGAGGCCTTTGGTGTGGCCGTGGGAGTGGGCGGAGAGGAGGAGGAGGATGAGGGGGAGGAGGAGGAGGAGGGGAGCAGAGGTCTTTGAGTTTTGGAGGAAGAGAAACATGGTGGTTCTGTGAAAGTAGGAAGGAGGAGGAGTGGAGAGTAGAAACATGGTGGTTCTGTGAAAGTAGGAAGGAGGAGTGGAGTGGATTTAATATAAATTGAGGAGAAGGGTTCACGGGTTGGTGCTGGTGATGAATAAAGGGAGGGCGTCACAAGTTGTGAGCTTTGGAGCTATATGTAGTGATGGAACGTAGCTACTTTATAATTTGAAGATAATGGTTTAATGTAAAATTTATTGTTTTATTTCGCTTTCTAATGTGCAGTTTTATCTTCGTTCCAGTCCACTGTGGGGACACTTTGGCTCGGCCATTCTGCTGTCGTCATTTTATGTAGGATTAGGGACTGATTTTGACATTTTTTTCCCCACACCGGAATTTCTCTCCCTATAAAACCAGAGCAAAATCTCTGCTGATAGTCAGAGAAAATATTACGTGCTAAGATTAGATATAGAATTGCAATTAAATGTCTATCAAAACAAAAATTATCTGAAATGGTATAATTTTTTTCGATTTGCGAGATAAGGGGTTGTATCTGTAATCACCAAATCATAGTAGAATATTCGAATTCGACAAACACACCCTTTGTAGTTTTTTTTCTTTTTTGGTTTTTCCACGTAAAAACTTCTGGTGTTCCGACTGGTTATCTTTTTCATCTAGGTGTGTGATGGACTCTAGTACAATGCTAAGACAAGTATTCGTTACTCTACCACTACGAATTACCTCTCATACATTAGTTTGATGTTGTTTGTGGGAAACAAAGTTCTGTTATACACTATTTTTAAGTTTGGACGCAAAGCCCCTACCTCATCATCTGAGCCTTCCTAGTACCTCTTGAAGATAATTTCTGAAGCATTCTTCAACTTTGGGGGTGATCTTCATAGCAGTCTTGAAAGGTTGTTCATGTCAATATCTTGGACACAATTATAGTGAGGTAGTATTCTCAAGTCTTATTTAAATACAAAGTCTATTAAAACTTTTTTCAGGCTAATGGACAACTTTCATTGCAATCTCGAAAGGTCATTCACGTTAACATCTCCAACATGACAGTTGCAGGAAAGTTATTGCATATTTCATTAATACATCAAGTCTTCGAGAAGGTGGGCTCCACAAATTACATTTTCTCAATACCCCCCATCATATTGGAGTTCTTCCTCAACCGTATCATAAAGTTGTTCTATTCAAGGTTCAATACATTGTTGCTTTGCAAACTCGTATGGAAAATAATCGTACTAGGGAACAACAAAGGAAAAAGCAACGACTAACAACTTGCCAAAAATCATTCTTGAGTATGGGTGCAAACATAATTTCAAAAAAAAAAAAAGTTTCCTTGTGACATGTGCATTGGTCTTAAGAAACGAAAGCATCTCTAAAACCTCATTCTTGTCTTAATCGATCCCCGAAGGACTTGATTCGATCTCTTCCATCATAAGCTATGACTGTCAAGTAAGAGCTTCGACTAACGACCTTAAATGAGTCAAAAATTCTTGGTGGATTCCTTTCTTCCTCTTTTATAACAGGTTATAGTCATTAAGCAGAAGGGTCGACCAACAACCTTTGATATGCCAACCATCCTTGATGAATTTCATTTGATTTTGTCCATCACAGGTTAATGCTGCCAAGAAAATGCTCCGACTATAGAACCTAAAATTGGTCTTACATTTTTAATGAATTCTCCTGTCGACTTTGTTCTAACACATGTTAACTCCATCAAACATCTCTTGCTATACACTCTGGCACAGCTCTTACATCCTGCATGAGTTACAACTGACTTCTGCCACTACATGAAACAATCCTTAGGCATACGAGCTGCAACTAATAACCTAGAAAAAGTAAAGCTTACGCAGTGGTATACAAAAACTTCACTCATACCCTTGAAAGTTGAGCCCAAGAGGCAAGACTCATTCGAAGATATTATACCTCTAGAAGACAAGTCCAAAAGATAAATTTTGATGGGAAGATACTATGCCAGTGAAAGTTGAGCCTAAGAGATAAAACTTCATGGGAGCATACCATATCTCTGAAAGTTGAGCCCATTAGACAAGTCTCAATGGAAAGCAACAGTACCCCAAGATAACAAGCCCATGAGGCAAGTCTCGATGAGAAACTAACATGCCTCTAGAAAATGAACTCATGAGGCGAGTCTCGATAGAATGCTAGTTGTTGACAGGAACCTCACTAGAAAGATTCCATGAGAGCAATTAGTTCCACTCAAAGATCTTAGAAGACTACAAGCCTCAGAAAATACAGGTACATCAAAGATCACAGAAGCTACAAGTCTTAAAAGACAAATATATATCTAGAACCTTAGAATAGTACAAACCTAAAAAAACACCAGTACATCAAATACCTCAAAAGACTAAAAGCCTTAAAACGTACATGTACATCAAAAACTTCATAAGACTACAAGCCTTAGAATACACAAGTACATCACATACCTTAAAAAGTTATAAACCTCAAAAGACATAGGTGCATAATGTCACGACCCTACCTAGAGTTTAGAATTAACCAAGACGGGTATAGATGGTTAGAAAATGTAAAATAAATTTTCTTATTATTCTTAAATTTAATAGATGAAAGAGCCACTAATCACTTTAAATTAAAACGGTACAGTTAAAATTACGTAATTACTGGTTGTCCTTGTATTCTATAAATGTTTTCTCTTATCTCTCACTTTATTTAAATAATTAAAATTTACTTGAAAAGTTAGTTTAAAACAACTATGAGCTAAACTAGACAGCGAATACTTATACTCATAAACCACAATAATACATGAGAGAAGAAAAAAATATGAATGCTAGTTAAACTGTTTAATAAATCAATATAAATATTTGATACCATTCAAAATATCTTTACTATATTATTAACATATCAATATCATTTCATATATATACAACCATCACAGGAGCCCCATAAAAAAATCATGTCAATTAAAATACATCAATATCAATTTCTTTTTCCATATCTATGCACTAGTATCTTATTATTCCTCCACTAGTACCATCAAGAAGTGACTCCATCATAGTGGGTCATGCACATACAAGCAATCAACATAAATATATGCTTGTCACATTCAATTCAACATACTACATATAACATACACTAATGCATAATATTATGTAGCTTCATACATTTCGAACAATGTGACTAATAAAAGAAAGTATAAAAATCAAATAAAGTTTGTGTAAATATCATTATCTATTAATACATAGAAATCGAGAAGAACCAAAATATTACCATATATTAAAAGTACAAACACTCACCTCAAAATTGTGTGAATTATTTCAAACACATTTAATTTTTGCCTTGAATAGTTAGCTGTCTATAATATCATAAAAATATAATCTTAAACATATAATTAATTATTCTTAATTAATCTCTTAATTACTTATGTAGCTTTAATTATTGATTAGAAGCTTTATTTTAAGTTTTGATATTACTTTAATTTGATTATCAAAACTTCAACTAAATTAACATTTATGATTTTATTCAATATCAAATAAATGTCCACTCAAAAAAGTAATTATAAAGTTTCTTTTCAAATTTCAAATAAATATTTCATATTATTATTATTATTATACTTATTGCTATTACATTTTTATAAACCAAATAATATAAAATATTAAAATACAAAACTTATAATTCTCACGTTACCAAAAGCTTAGCTGGCTCAACACCCACTCAAATCTCTTCTTTCTTCATACACTAGCTTCTTCTCTCCTCTTTTTATTCTCGATTGTTTCTCTTCATTCACCTGCACAAACTTGACCTCCCTCCTCTCCTCTTCTTCTTCTTGGGTAGGCTAGGGCATGGGCACTACTCTCGTGTCGCCTGCCTTGCCAGACTCTCGACAATGCTGCCACCCTCTCCTTCTCCGGCAACCAGACAAGCCTCGACACCGCCATCGCCTCCCTCTTCCACCTCCTTGCTAGACAGAGACGTTGGCATCCGTTGACTTTGCTACCTCCGGCTACGAGATGCCCTAATTTGCACACACCGTCTCTCTCACTCATTGGTTGACTCACCAGGTAAGTCAACTCGCCTCCATCATCCCCTTACGCATGGATTTAAACTTGAAAATATCTCTTTGAATACCCGAACCTTTCACTTCACCTTTCTCTATCTCTCTGCAGCTTATTGTTCGTTTCTTCTTCTTTGATTCTTTATTGTCCGACTCCTCGCTTCTTCTTCTTTTTGGTTTTTTCTCGTTTCCTCTCCTGCAATTTAGAAAACAGGTTGTTACACATCAAACAACTTGGAAGACTATGAGCCTCATATGGCATCATCACATTTCAAGCTCCTAGAAGACATAAGTCTGAGTAGGCATAAGCTTCAAAAAATACAAACCTAAGAGGACTCAAACCTCAAAATATAAGTGATTTTTTTCTATAAAGTGAACGTGCTAACTCTAATTGCAGACTTTCACATGTTTGAGAAGCCAAAATATATTGTGCCGCTATAAGCCTCAAAAGAGTCAGATGTTACTAAGCTTCTACTAGGGGCAACACTCAAATTGAGCTATATTTGATTCAAGACTTATTATATTTTTATCTCCTCTGGGGAGCGAGTTGTATTGAGTCAATTTTTTTACATCAACCAAAAATGAGCTAGGCTTGGATAGGTACGAACAAATGCAATACTGCAATATCAAGCAGTAAAGACAAGAACATTATTGTCATGTACAAATGTCACGCCATGCGATTAAAAAGTTATAAAGACTAACACATATTGGTATAAATGCTACAATAAGAAAGCTCATATATAAATGTGTTGAAATAACCTCCTCAAAATTCTGGTACCTCCATTGAATTACAGGGAGATGGGATCCTTTGGAAATTGTGACAGCAACACGAAAGACCTAAAGCACTTCCTAGATGTCCCATTGAGCGGTTTTGAGGAAACTTTCTTATTCACAACGGTGAGAAAAAAGATCAAGAAAAATGATCCCATATGACGTGTTGGGCACTGTCAAGAACTTTATCCTTCATAGCAGATCCAGATATCCTGATAGGCAGGGTAGGGGACAATTTCCTCTTATGG